AATTAAATGAATAAAAATAATGATAATTAGTAAAACTAAATGAATAAAAATAATAATAATTAGTAAAATTAAATTAATAGATTTTATTCCCCGATAAAATCGATAATTTACAAAATTTGCTTGGAATGAAATAAAAAAATAAAAACATAATAAATAATATTTAGATGTGACAAATTAAAAATGAATTATTGTAATTAATTAATATTATTTTCGTAATCAATTAAATACAATTCTGAATTCTGAATATCAGACTTATTACGATCATAGAATTGTTTTGATGAAAATAATTTCTACTACTTTGAATTGAAAATGAAAAAAGTTACTACTAATATTGCTGTAAAAAAAAAATTATGTGAAATACACGTTTGAATGATTTCCTGAAAAGTATCACCGTAGTAGTATTTCCTGATAAGTGTCACCGTAGTATTAGTGCATGAAAAGTATCACCGTAGTGCTATATCGTCACCGTAGTAGTAGTGCATGAATCTATATCGTATTACTTAATTACGTTAACTATTTCATTAATACCTTATATATAAACAAAAACATTTTAATCAATTCTTCAGTTTTTTTCTAAGCTTTGATTATTTCAAAAAAATTGATATTTATTTTAATTGCTTGTCAATAATGCAATTATTCCTTTCCTTTATTGTTTATTTAAATTTTTTGTTTACTAATTTAAGTAAACATGTTTTGTTTTGCCTTTTTCTTACATTGAAATTACACTTTTATTTCTTCAACAACTTCGAGAATTATATAATGACTATATATTGATGCAAAAGTTAACATCCCATTTTCCTTCACCATATATTTCATTTCACATGCCTTATTTCTTTCTCTCTCTCTCTCTCTCTCTCTTTGTATTCAAATTTCTGTGTATCATAAAATTCCTAGAAACCAACTAAAATGAACTGTTCGTGTCGTTCAGATGTGAAGAACTATTCATATGAGATATCGTAATTAAGAATAATAATAATAATATTTACTGTTAATAGCAACAATAATATAATTTTTATTAATGACAATAATAGCAGTAATAATAAATAATAATAATATTCAACTATTTTCTTTTTTTTTGTCCTAATAAATATCATCGATAATCCATTAACCAGCAACAATGATAATGATTATTATTATTATTTATTATTGTTTTTCATCATTATTTATTATTTATGATTATTATTTATTATTATTCAATGTTATCTAATATCACTATTATTTCGTTGTTATATATTATTACTGTTATTTATTGTTGTCATTATCATTTATTACTATTATTTATAATGACATTGCATTAATCATAATAAAAATACTAATGAGCTAATGTTATATATTTAGTATAACGATGATCTATATATGCATGATATTTATACCACGTAAAAATTATGTTGAGCCAAAAAAAAAAACGTAACCCGTATGTTATACGTGATTAAGTGAAATGTAAATTTATGAAGTTGTTGTGGGATAACATCAAATTAGTAAATATTTATTATGTAAACATGAAAAAATTTAATTTCCTAATATATATTAAATAATTAATTTCATGAATTTTATGCATGGAAGAAATCAATTTTATTATTTTCTGAAGTATGAATAATTCTATTTTTCTTAGAAAAATGTTTTCATTTTTTGTAGGAAATTTTGAATGGAATAGATAGATATTAATAAAACGAATATATTAAGATCTATTCTTCATTTTTTGCTTTTTTAAACGAAATTAAACTTATTTCAGATTTAATTAATTGATTAATCCATTTCTTTTTTTTAACCGTCTAAATCTGCTTCTGCAGCCTGTTTTTATATTTTGCACCTTCAAAATTCCTTCAAATATATTCCTTCAAAATTTCTACCTAAAATTATCATTTAATCATTTATAATTCCATTATCCTAAATTTCCATTAAAAGTTTAATTATATTTTTTTCACATAATTAGCAATAATAAAATTACGATAATTACTCCTTAAAGGAATAATTATTTCCAAAAAATAGTTTTTTCATGCCATAATCGTTTTTGTTTTTTTTTTTGAAGACAAACCTAAAATGTTAAATTTAAATTATTGTCTTTCAGAAAAAGGAAATTAGCAAATATTACTTATTTATATTTCAAGCAATTTCTGAAAATTATTTTACGCTTTGTTTTTTGCTTTTGTTCTCGTTTTTTAATTAAAACTCCTACAAGCATAAATTATGTTTCAATTGGAATTAAAATATAAAGATACTATAATAACCTAATTATAACTGATAATAATGAGTGATAATAGTCAGTTAATAATACAACTGATAATAGTAGTTATCTTTTTTAATTAAAATTCCTGCAAGCATAAATTATGCTTCAATTGGAATTAAAATATAAAGATACTATAATAACCTAATTATAACTGATAATAGCTGTTAATAATGAGTGATAATAGCAGTTATCAGTTATAAAAGATAGTAATTTTTTTCCTTCGTGCAAAAAAAACAAAGATATCATAAATACAAAATATGTGCTATCTTTTTCTCTTTTCCTTCCTCTCTCTCTCTCTCTCTCTCTCTAATTATTGAAAAAAAGGTAAGTTAAAAATTTACGATTTTTTTGTTGTTAAGTCAAGATTAGCATAAAAAGATATTTCCAAATAATTCTGTTTTCAAATTTATGAAGTGTTTTTGTTTTAAAATGATTAAATAATTATTTTTGATGGAGGTATAATTTTATTGAAGATAAAGAAAAAGAAATCATTGTTTTTGAAAATCAGATATTAAATTTCCTTTTCTCTGGCTTTTCTTTCATAGCAAAAAAAGGATATCAATATTTATTATCAATTTGTATAGTGATAAAGAATAATTAAGCTACCAGTTATCACTTATAGAATACCTAATTAAAAGCACACAAATGTATATTATAATGGAAATTAATAAAATATAATTCTTCTCATCACACTGTATAAAATATAATATATTATAATGGTAATTAATAAAATATAATTTTACTTTTTTGAAATTATTTTCTTATCCATTAATTGAATTCGAAAAACAAAAATTATATTAATTACTTTATCAATAAGATTTATGATAAGAAGAGATAAACAGATCTGAGATAAATACAATTAAATGTGCGAAATTATTGCATAACTCTTTGTTTTTAATTTTCTTCAGAAAAAAATTTGATATTAATAAAAATTAGATTTTAGTGACGTAGAATAATTTTTTTCCTTTGTCTTAATCAGCAACCAATAAGTTGATTAAGACAAATTCTGATAACAAAATATTATGAAAGATTAAACCTAGTGATAATATTTTAGGACAGATCGACTTAATGATAATATGTAACATATCACATATTACGTTATAAATAATCATTTGAATCATTTATTCATTCACTCTAGAACGATGATAAAATATTAATCAATTTCATAATTAAAAATGGAACATATGGAATGATTGAAATAATATAATTGTGATTAAAATTATCACAAAGAAAAAGAAATGTTTTAATTATTGCTTATGAATATTTATGATTCAATAAATGATAATGATGATTTTGTATCAATTTATAAATGGAATTTAAAAGAATTAGATGATAATTCAGGTGATAAGTTCAGGTGATAAACATATTTGTTTCGTCTGCTTTTTTTCGTTTTATTTTACTCCGATTATTTTTGATTAAAATTTAGAACAAAATTTTTATCACTAAATGAAATTTCTTCTTTATTTTGATTTCATTGATACGAAAATTACAGAAAGATTGATGAAATATTAAAAATCAAAAATTAAATTTAGAAATTATTAACATGACAGTATTACTAATTTATATATTAATATTATTTATTTTTGTGTAAATAATTTAAACTAATCATAACAAAAACACATAGTAGGCACATCTTTGAATTTATATATTTTGAATAAAAATTGATGATTAATATTTTAAATTATTATTTTCAGCAATATCGATATACCTCAAATTACGATTATCGTCGTCGGCCAAGTCATTTAATTATCAACAATATTAGAAGGTTACGACCGTTCACTTCTACTTCACATATTGTAACGGAAGCATTTGATCGATTAATGTAAATAATTTATATTAAAGTTTAACATTTCTTTTTTTCCATCAAAAAAAGTGCTAAAATTTTTTTTGGTAATTTTCAATTGTTTTAAATAATTATTAATGCATACTAATTTATAGTATTTAATTATGTGTAAGTTAATTTACATTTATTATTAGAAAACAACCATCACGAATAATGAATAATTCGAGATTGGAACATTCACGGGAACACTTACAGAATGCCATAGAACAAATTTATGCACGACCAAAATTATTCTCTTCTTATGCTAGAAATGTTAGCATTATTTTCTTTGATCAAATAATTAAAATTAAAAGAACAGAAAATGGAACGATGATTTTTACAAGTATTATCCCATACTTTGTTATTCTATTCCTGTGCCTACAATTATTCCATTTTTGTGTTCCTATTCCTGTTCCATATTGCTGTTCACTTGTGTGTCGCTAGTATTCTGTTTCTATAGCTCATTACTGTTTCGTTATTCTATTTCATAGTTGTTCTTTTTCTCATATTTCACTCCTATTCTTTGTTCCCGCAATCCAATACTATTCTATGCTTGCATCCCATTATTATTCTATACCTCTGCTCATTATCAAATTAATGAATTTTAGCGGAAAACATTCATGTACCCCTATTTTTTTCGTGTTCTCTGCTTTCGCAACCCAATATTATTCTATGCTTACATTCCATTATTATTCTATACCTCTGCTCATTATCAAATTAATGAATTTTAGCGGAAAACATTGAATGTACCGCTAAAAATGATATTTTCAAAGACAGTATGCCAATACAATAAAATACCGTACCACCATATAAACCCTATAAATCTGAAATTTCCTTTTCTTTTTTTTAAAAATTAAAACTTTTTGTTTATTAAATTTATAAGCAATAATCTTATTGTTTATCAGGAAAATATTTACTACATGTATCCGATCATGTTTTATTTTTCAGGAAATGAATCATGTATTATCCAATGAAATTTCACCATTTCTACAAAGTTTTAATAATGATGAAATCAAGGAGAAATTGATAACTGTAAAGCCAAAAATACGAACAACAATGACAACAACAACAACAACAACAACAACAACAACAACAACAACAACAATAGCAACGCCTATAACAACACAGCCAATTTTATTAAGCCATTTAACATCAGTAACTGAAATGGATGAAGAAAAAAGAGCTAGGATAGAGGTAAAGAATTTCGAAGAAATAAATAATGATATTTAGAAATTTAATACAAACAATAATTTTCAATGAAGAAGGAAAAACTATTATTTACTTTTTTCTTTATTATTCTATTTATTATTTATTGTATATTGTTTACATTAGAAAACAAATAAATAATAATGAATGTTATTTTCTGTTTTTATTTTTATTTATTCAAATAAGAATAAAATCAAATTAATTGAATTAAAAGAATAAAATATTACAAATATTGATAATTTTAATGTCACTTTTTTTTTCTTTTAACTATTTTATAATAGTAATAAATAATAAATAATAACAATGATAATAGTTTATCAATAATAGTAATAAACAATAATAATAGTTTATCAATAATAGTAACAAATAATAAATGATAACAATAATAATAGTTTAATTTAAATTTCATTCTAATTTTAAGCATATATATATCCATATATATATATATATATATATGCAGGCTAGACGGCATAAATTGGGTCCATTAGTAAAATCAGTACGATATCCGTACAATCGACGAAATTGGCATCGTATCATTCTAGCAAAAGATGGCTCATCACATTTTTCAAATCGAATACAAAATATTATTAAACAACAATTACGACAGCAGCACCAACAACAACACCACCACGACCAACAACAACAACAACAACAATACCATCAACAACAACAGGAAAAAAAACGACCGCGTTTGGGTGGAATATTACTTTCAAAAGCTAATATAAATTCGAAACTATTCATCAATGAAGGTTTTAGTTTATTCTATTTCATTTCTCTTTTCTTCAGTTTTGAAATTATTATGAATGCAGAAATTAATGAATGAATGAAATGCCTGATAAAATAAAATTGATCATTCAGTTCGATCGATTTATTATCAGAGCTATTTCACTTCTCTTTTCTTCAATTTTTATTTTTGAAATTATCATGAATGCAAAAATTAGTGAATGAATGAATGAATGAAATATTTGATGAAATAAACTTGATCAATCAGTTAGATCGAATTATTATCAGAGATTAGATCGAATTATTATCAGAGATGCTTCGTTACTTTTCTTAACTTTTCTTTCCTCTAATAAGTTATTCAATTAATTTGAATTAATAAATTAGATCAATAATTGCTATTAGATAATAAACGAAAGAAAGCTTTATTTTGTATGAATTTTTCTTTATGGATGCATTTATTAATTGATGGCATTCTTCAAATTTCTAACCAAACTAATTTTGATTTGATCGAAGGACCAATTATAATTTCAATGTTGAGATAATTTGAAAAATTGAAAGTGATATGGAATTTCACAATCATTTATACGACGTATTGTCGTAGTTAAATTAGGGTCAAACTATATTCTCAATTGTTATCATTTCTACGAATCAAGCTGACAATCAAATTTCGATCAAATTAAATTTGATTTGATATGAGGGATGAAATAATTTTCATTAATTTTATGAATAACTTGATATATTTTAATTAAATTTTAATAAGTGATTTCGAAAGGTTATTGGATAACCTTTTATATTTTTGAAATCTGTGGATAATTTGAAATTTTTTAAAATTTGTTAAATTTTCTTGTGATAATTTTTATTAGCTATAAAAGCTCGTTTTTTTATCTATTCTATCAATTACATTGAATCATTAAATTTTAGCAGATGAATGGCCAAGGGAAATAATAAAACCAACAACCACTACGGCAATTACCACTACGATATCTGTTACTGATTTTTACACCGATACAACAACAACCATTGATACCACTTTTACTGATACCGCACCAATTATTGTTATTCCAACAACCAAATCTTCTGATATTACTTTTACTACTGCTACACCAATTATTGTTATTCCAACAACTAAATCATCTTCTGATACCAATTCCTCCGCTTCAACTTCCTCCTCTTCCACCTCAATTGCAGCTACTATTTCAAAATCGATTGATTTCAATAATGTAACAACGATTGAACCGAAATCATTTCCATTCAGTACATCATCAAATGATTATCATTTTCGAAAAATTACACCAGCAAAAAAATTTAAATTTGCTCAGAAATTTCGACGACAACCACGGCTTAAAATACGCAAATCAGGTTCGTTTTTAAATTCATTACTTAATTTTTTTAATTAAAAAAAATTATAAAATTAAGTTGAAATAACGATGAAAAGGAAAAATTTTAATTTGAGAATTTAATTTCAATGAAAAAAATTTTTTACATTAATATTTTATTTGCAATTTGTTTATAAGTAAATAATTTCGATTGATAATATAATAGTAATAATATCAATTTAATAATCAACAATTTTGTTTTATCATTTTTTTTTTTGTAATATAGGCTATTTTATATTTATTCTTTTTTAAATTATGCAAGATAATAAAATTTAAGAATTTAAGAATTTATGAAAGACTGTATTTGTGTATTTGGAAAGTAAGAAAACAAAGGAAGAAAACGGAATCTTTATTCTGATGAATATTTATGCAAATTTTATTTCATCGTTTTTTTTTCTTCTCCTTTTTAAGACAAAAGAAAACCGTTAAGAGGAAATCAAACAACTTCCGGGCGGAATCCAATTATTTTACCGCAACTTGAACCGTTAAATTTGGAGAGTGAAATTGAAGAAACGAACGATGCAAATGGTTAATTTCATTAAATATTGAAAATATCCGGAAAATTTTTCTTTTCGCGATTTTTAATCTAATCGGAAATTTTGAAAATTATAATTAAGAATTTATTAATTTAACGGATTAAACTATAAAGTTTGGGTGATATATTGGTCAGAATTATTATTATTATTATCATTATTATTATTATTCAACATAAAATTCTTCCTAATAAACATATTTTCATTCAGCATAAATTCTTCCTAATAAACATATTTTAACGATAGCATGAAAAAGAGGTCAAAGGGAAAATTAGTTCAATGAAAGGTAGTGAAAAAGATGATGAGAAAAGGATAAGAAAAATTTTGAACATTAGAAGAGAGAGAGAGAGAGAGAGAGAGAGAGAGAGAGAGAAAGGTAGTAAACGGGAGGAAAATTTGTGCTAAATTTTTAAATGAAGAAATAGCCTATTTTATTTATTTTGTTTAATATTTTCAAATGTTAATATTACACGAAATTTTATTCTATTATAAAAATAAAATGAAAAATTCAATTAGATATGATATTTGTAGGAGGTATCAAAGAAAAATAATCAAACAGATATGATAATTGTAGGAGATATCAGAGAAAAATCAAATAGATATGATAATTGTAGGAGATATCAAAGAAAAATAATCAAACAGATATGATATTTGTTAGAAGATATCACAGAGAAATAATCAAACAGATATGATAATCGTAAGAGATATCAAAGAGAAGGAAATCAGACAGATATGATATTTGCAAAAGATATCACAAAATAAAAAATAGCAATAACACATTTTAAAGAAAGAATTGAACTAAAATAATTTCAAAAAAAATTGAAGAAAAATGACAAAAATGATAAAAATAAACTTTTGCCTCTTGTAACTCTATTGTTTTTTGTTAAATGAAATATCATTAATTCACAAATATTTTTAATTTTTTGAAAATTTCAACATTTTCAGAAATTCAAATGTGCGTAGGCGGAAAATTAAATTTGAAATGGTTTTTTTGACGTGCATTTCTTATTTCCATTCTTTTGTCATGGAATCTGATAATTCTTTTGTCATAGAATTTGACGTGCATTTCTTATTTTCATTCTTTTTTCATAGAATCTGATAATGGTGAATTCCCAATTGATGATGAATCTGGTTTAATAGAATTTGGTAGCGGTAAACCATCATCGATTGATTTTAATAACGAGACTGTTGATAGTTTTGATAACGGTGATCATAAACAATCGACAAATGATCCTGATAAGTGAATTCTTTTTTTTTATTATTTCTAATATATGAGAAATCTTGTATTCCATTTCTGGTAATTCTTGTGGACAGCAAAAATTACTTTTCAGAAATTCATTGTTCATAAACAATGAAATTTTTTGGGAAAATATCCGGGAACTAATAGATTCCTGAATCACCGGAAACTGGTAGTTCCTGAATATTTTTGGCAATTCTTGCAAAAAAATTAAAAATCACTTCTCGAAAATTATTATTCATAAATATCGGTATTTCAGCATATCGACAAAAAAAATTGCCAGTATAGATTCTTCAATTGAAGCAGAAAAAACAACTTTATTGCAATCTGCGGAATACTTTGGTGTAACACCACCGGTTAATTCACAACCGATATTGAAAAATTCCGGATTGCTTCCAGCATTACCACCTTCCGATTTTGATGGTGAATTTGGAACTGGAAAAGGAACAATACTGGGAAATGCACTTCATGAAACAAGACCAGAATTTAGTAAATTTTGTTCATTTGAAATATGAATTTAATTTGGGACAAAAAGTTTTATCAAAATCTGAAATAGAGTAAAAATGTAGAATTAACAGTTGCAGCAAAAATTATAACTTAATAATTGGATTGCATGTATTTACACATATTTGTGCAATAACATATCATTAAGATAATGGAATCGAAGATTCGATATTCACCGGTGATTCGGCATTAACACCAAATCGACGTGGTCCATCCGGTGATGGTCTTGGTCCACCAATTCCATCCGGTGCAGCTATACCACCACCGGTACCAGCAGTTGGAATTGGTGGTTCAGCAGCTGGCGTTATACCAGCAATATCAAATCATTTGCTTAAAAGTCAAATTCCTCCTACAACAGTTCGTTTAATTTAGGAATTTGTTGAATTCAAATAAACTTTACATAGTTATCCTTTTTGTCGCATGAATAATTTCTCTTTATCTTTTTTCCTTTTTTTTTCTAATTTAAAAAGTTTCACTCTCTTTAATTTTCATTTTGATATTTTCGACGTTTATTTTGCATTTAAAATTAAATTGACAATTCTACCGTTTTTAGATTAAACCTTCTGCACTATTGAATTTTCTAAGTAAAGCAGATATTGGTTTCAATCAGGCGATCAATCATTTTGAGCAGGGTACACCAATTGAATCCGCGGCAATTGATATTTTGGAAGTGAATCTTTTATTTTACATTTCCTATGAAATTTATGAGAAACTATTAAATTATAACTTCTTATATAGAAATATTTATGCATCGATTTGTATTTTATGCTTTATTTCGAGAAATATATTTTGTAAGATAATCAAATTTTATCAGTTAATTATGCTAATTGGTACTATTAAGAGACAGTATGTCATTATCATGCACAATCACTATTCCATCTACACTGTAATGAAATTTACATCTCCTTATTCAAAATTTTTTGTTACGAATAATTATGTTAATAATTCTAAATTTCAGGTTGCATTAGGTAGCGAAAAATTAGATAGTCAGGCTAAATTGCTAGGTCATATCGATCGGACCATTGGTATTGATAATTTGCAAAGGTTGCAACGATGGGTAAATACAGGTGGTGCATTGGATGCTATCAAAGAACAGGTTTATTCTTCGAATTTATCTTGCTAAATTAAATTTTATTATTCAATTTGATATGATGGAAATACTTTTACAAAATATTTATAATTGGGTATGAAAAGAAGAAGAAGAAAAATGAAAAGGATGAATTTAAAAATTAATAATTAAAATTTCTTAAAAGGTCAAACATATTTATATATTCATTGTATTTTTAGCTTCTAAAATTTGCCAAGAACTATAGTATACCGGACGATTTGTTTCCTACCGTACCACCGCAGCTGCAGTATCTTTTTGCTCCAGGAAGGAAACAGTAGTTGGAATTCGGTTACAATGATTAAGCGGGTACAGTGAACTTTTTCCAACAAGAAGCCGTCAATTTTTGCTCAGAATCCTCGAAATTGGGACTTTTTGTCACCAGAAGAGGACGAAGTAGTAATGTTTGTGTTTATGTATATGTGTGTGTGTGCGTGTGTGTGTGTTCGTATCTGTTTGTATTTGTATTTACACGCAATATGATAGAATGAATTGCATTTTATTGCGAAAATATATATTAATTCAGTAAAATATTGCAAAACTACCGTATCTCTACTTTGATGTTATAATAGTGTGAGCATTTTTTTTCGATATTGTTACCGTAACAATCAATTAATAATTTCTCGAAAGTTGTAACCAATACCTAAAATTTTTGTAGACTAATAACTAATGAAACTGAAATTTTCTATTTAATCAAAAGATAGGATAGTTTCTTGGTATAGATAATACAGACCGAATGTATTCCAACTGCTGCTCACAATCTGAAATCATTCCTGCGAGCTAATTTTTTCCCTTTATTATGGAAGATTAATGAAACTTTGTAGTGAATTAGCATTCGTAGTGTTAGGCAAATAAAGTATGAATTGATGTTTGACGTATTCGGTAATTTCAGATAACATGATATATTAAATAAGTCAAGTCATAATTTTGTCGAAATTTGATTGAATTGAGGAAAATAGATATGAGGAGCAAAATCACAGTTATTATTCAATTTTACTATACGGAACACAAGTGAATAATATCAATGCACTCGAAATAAATTAAAAATGTGAGCAAAACATACAAATTAATAAATTAAAAGTAAATCAATTAATCGAAAATATAAGTTTCACAATTCAAAATGTACTAAATACTGAAATTGCAGTTTGATTATTCTAAACAGATGAGATTTTAGCTCTAAATCAGTGATATATGATAATCTAATTTAACCCATTTTGGACATCAGGCGGCTAAATATCTATACTTGCATGCTAAGTTAGTTCATTTTGAATCCATTTTCAAATCTTGTCATCTAAAAGCTAGCTGTCATTTCCGCCAGGAATTCTCCGTATTTTATTTTTTATCAGTATTCGTATTTCGACCATACCTGATTTGACGAAAGTGTGATTTGATAGAAAATGACATGCAGTGATTTCCTCATATTTAATATTATTTTTTTGCAATTGATCGCACGGTTAACTCTCATATATATATATTAGCAACTCATTGAACAGTTGTGTGTTTTCAATATGTATATGTGTATATATATATTGAAATCATTTTTCAGATTCTCTGTACCCTGGGTTCGATGTTACTGCTTTTTATTATCTAAATTGTGACAAGCTATTAAGTTCGTATGAATCTGTTCTTTTTAACTAATAGTGAATTATTCCAACTATAATAAAACAAAAGCAAGATTTATATATACCTGAAGCATGAAATAAATGAATTTTTTTTAGAAAGTGAAATGATAATACACCAGTTGAGATCGTCAGTCAGATAACGGTTTTGATAAAATCACATAATCACCATCGTCTGGACATGATGGATCAATACTAAAGCCATTCTTGTGAAAGAATGCGAGCGAATTCCCATTAAATGTAAACACTGTAGCCATCAATTTGTCCATTGACATCCTGAAATTATCAAGCGCCCTAGAATACCGGCATATCAAAAATTCAGTACCATAAAACTTGACTTTAATAATTGATTGTCCAAGTTAAAGATAATGCTATTCACAAGTTTAGAATGACACATGACGATGAAATTTAAAGTAAAAACAAAATCTAATATCAGCCAAGATCATGTACTGCTCTATGCTTGTTTTTAAGTGGAAAGCTAAGAGTTGCTCCCACTTAGCCCTCAATGATATTTGCTACCTTCATTATATAAGAATTCAGAGAGTTTCGATAACTACTGACTCATTAAAAAATTTTTGTGCAACAGAAGCTATTGAAACGCTAACATAAATTTAGTTTTAGCAATTCTCTACCGTTTTGAAAACTTTCGTAATTTTGAATCCAGTATAAAAACATTCAACTTTTAGTTTTAGAACCAAATGAAGCACTACAGAACTTTCTTTCCCTCTATCTTCTCCCATCTAAAGAAAGAGAAAACGCTGAGCAGGATAAAATAAGAATTACTTTTTTGCAAGGCATTCAGCAATAGACAAAAGAGCCGTCCCAACACCTTTAACCTGATGCGCGCTCTCCACCTGTATCTCATAACTGAAATAAAAAGATTCTGAAGATAACAGGAGATAGAAAAATCTACACAAATAAAAAAATCTACACAAAAAATTTACACAAAATCTACACATTCAAATTTTGAAAAGTTAAAACCACAACAAACTAAGCAGCAGGCTTATACGCCATTTTTTCCAACCTGTTTCTTTGCAGCGAAGAATTCCCAAACATAATTTAACGATAAAACTAAACTATAAATTTTGGTTAGATAATCGCTCTATTCGAGCCATATAACCCGGGCAATGCTATTTGAGTTACATAAAGCTTCCAAAACATAAGTTTCGTTGTATTTCGTCATTCCACTATCAATAACAATACCCTCCCTGACAACATAACTAAAACAATATTATTTGATAATGATATGCGATGTATTTCATATCTCTGAAACAAATGCTAATATTCACTAACCAATATAATACAGCTGAATCGAAATCAATATCAAAACGATAATGCAAATAAGCAATCGGCTTATCATTTTGATTCTTCGCAATGATATATCTGCAAACAGCACTTCCTTATGTCATTTGCTATGCAATAGAAAATGATAAAGTTTAAGACATTAATATAGAACAACAAAGTTTACCATAAGTTCCATTCCATAGTCCAATACGTTTCAGACTATTTTCCCAGGATATGAGAATGTTACGCTAACTGTCTCTTTCAACAGATAAGGTACCCAGTTTAGGATCTAGTTGATTAAGCAACAAATCTTTCTATATAATTCGGAAACAATCAATCATCTTTTCTATCACTTTTTTTGTTTAAATTCAAAAAGTTTTGTTTAATATAGACATTTCTATTCTATGAATTACTCTTTAGATAGTATTCAACAAACACCTCGACGTTGTAGCTCGAAATTCTTGCTTTTTGCTTACTTCATCATAACCCCATTGAGAGATTTGATACATTGTACGCATATTAGTCACGAACAACTGGAAAACCCATTCAAACTGCTCGTCACTTAGATGCGTTCCCCAAAAAAACGTAAAATGAACCTTTTCACTGAAAATTAATTAAGCAATTGATTATATTTGGAAAAGAAGCGGCAAATCACGGTAAACATCAAATCCAGATTTTCTTCGAGAATACATCAAGAATAATATTACTGATCTAATGAGGGAAGAAAAGAATCACTTATTGTGTGTACAGAGAAGAAGAAAAGAATAATTACTATTTGAAGAAAACTTTGTAGACAACAAAAATATTTTTTGTCTTTTCCTCGTTGAAATTAAATTAATCTATCACTAATTGTTTGGGAAAAAACTTATGCTCACGTACGCGTTTTTTCTTCGCCAGGTTTTTTTAAAATTTATTCCAGAAAAAAATCAATGAAAAAAATCAAAAAATCAATCAATAGGTTATCAAAGCTTATAATAAAGATACCCAAAAATAACCTCGCAATATCTTCAAAACGTGTGGTACCATCGATAGCATTCTCAGTATTGATCAATTTCATAGCTTTCTTTACCAATTTTTTTTTCGCATCCGCTTTCATCCTGAAAATACATACAAAACAGATAATAGAAAAATATGTTGAAAGCTAAGCTGATTTCAAGATATGCGACTTATCTTCAAGGACAAGACCTAATTTAATTCGACGTATATCATTGCGGCATAGCCATATATGAAGTTCTTAGAATTCTGGCCATTAAATCGTTCATCTCTACCTGAACTCGAAATGAGCTGTCCCAGAACACACAAACTCTCAGCCGAATAATAACCAACCATCCCGGTTACGTTGAGGAAATGGCTAAAAACAATGATGAGTTTTAATAAGGAGGAATTAATAGGAATAATAATAAACCATTACCTAAGAGAGCACAAAAGTTGAAGAAACAACAAAGAATGATAAAAAAGACGAAATAGTATGCTATTGATGGTGGCTGTGAGGAGAATGAAAGTGAAAGAGTAATTTTTGTGCAAAATACTTAACTATTATAGACATAATAATGAAATGAAAATCTGCAAATAATGAGCGATCATAAACCGGCTCACAACCATCAGATCAGGAAAATATCGCATAACAGGTTTGTGTTCAAAATGCGAGTATTATTTAGCAGGAAAAGTTAGGAGTTATTAATATCCTTTCGGCAAATTATGCAGAATTGGAACAATAGATTCATTACAATTAGTTTACAATTAGAGTCATTTGATTTTCAATTCGAATTTAACTCTTCTCAAATTTACCTTTAATATTTTTTGCATATTTTGTTGATAATTTCTTGCAATATTTTTCTTTCAAGATAGATACACCGTATCATTGAAAAATAACTTAAGGAATGATTAGGAATGGAAACTCTCCATTTTCTGTTCCGTTTTTCCGTTCATCCTATTCTTTAATATGTTTTGTTCCGGTTCTGTTAAAGGAATAATCACTGGGCAAATTTTTATATATAATTTATAGTTTTGTCATTCATATTTCAGTTTCACCTTATTAGCGCTTGAGAGGATGGTTGGTATTTATGCTCCTCTTATCAATGTTATGTTTTACATGCCTTCTGTGACTTATGTTTGGATTCAGATTTCCTGAAATTATCATTTTAGATTAGGATTTTTGATTCCTTTTTGTTTTATTTCATTTATTCCTTCTTATTATTACTAAAAGAAATCAAGTAAACAATGACTACGCCTTTGCACATAAAAATTATAGCTAATTTTTGTGAAAATTTTAAATGGATTTATTGTTTTTTGATCATAACATAATTAAGTGATGCATAATCAAATTATTATTCATATGTAAAATTGCCTATGTAAAATATTTCTAAGTCAGTAAATTCGGTCAAATGTAAATTAGATTAATTGTGTTGATTGTTTCATGTTGATTATTAATATTGTTATTATTATTATTGATTGTGCGTTATCGTACCTGAAGTATATTTAAACGTATTTAACTAAAAAAGTACTTAATTTAATTATAAGTAGTATATTTCAAGCAAACTTTATACTTATTATGCGGGCGTGATTATAACTTTTTGATATGATTATAACTGATTATAACTTTTTAAACTTTTGTAAATATTTAGAATTTTATCAATTTTTTACATCATTTCTAGAGATATTTGATTACAATATATCGTATGAAAGTTTATCTTGTAATTATTATTTATACATTTATGTGTATTTAAAGCGGAATTTCGCGCATATATTGCTCCTAAATTTACGTTTTAATCTAATCAAAATGTTATCATTTAATGACAGATGAATGAAAATGGGTTGGAAGAATTGTTGGTATGTGAGGGATGGCCGATTAATGAAAAACATCTGAGTGATTTTGTTGGCGAACCAGTTTCACGAATACGGGATGTTAATCAATTGAAGAGACAGCTTCTTAATGTAAGCTTACTTATTAAGTGTATTTTTTTCTCTCTTCTACTTTTCATTTCATATATTTTCATGCGAAATCTTGAAAGTTGTTTATAAAGATTAAGTGTGAATGAATACAAAATATCGGAATCATGAGTATCATGTAGGAACTGATTTTACCTGAATAGTTGCTAAATGATTTATCGGATAGTTTTAGCGTCTCTTTTCTTTGAAACTTGCATGATTTATTTTAATTGAATTCAGAAGTTTAATTTGTATATTTTGTTTTAAGTCACTTTGAGCAGTAATTACCTATCTAGGCATCTTTTTTTGAAAACTATGGAATCACGCTCATTCTCATATCCCACGTAATTATGATGTATTTATGTGGTTATAATTTGAGCAATATTAATCAGGAGATTCCTCGTTTCTAATGGATTTCAAACCATTTTGGAAATTTCATCTCCTAGGAATATAGAAGGATAAATAACATTTTTCGTCCTCTTTCTATTTCATATTTCTTATAAGTTAAGAAGTTATTACAAATAATAATTACTTTTCGATTCACCGATAACGTTATAGTGGTCTTTCTATTTATATTTCTTATTAGTTACGAAGTTATTGCAAATAGTAATTACTTTTCGATTCACCGATAACGTTATAGTGAGTACCAATTTTTAATTTAAATGCTTATTTTAAGTTTTAATTTTATTTTGAGCTAGTAATGACCGTTGCTTTGGTTTTCTAGTTGGAATGAATGATATGATCCAAAAGTTTTGTCTGGTAAAATGTGTAATATTTCTTAAAATTTTTTCTGCTATTTATTTTAGGCTGATATGCGTGAATATGCTGTGCCGTTACTTTCAGATCGTATCAACAAACAATTAGGTGAATTTAAGGTATGTTGAAGTATGCGGACGCACGATTCACTCGATGCTTATAGTATTACTTATCCTGCTGTTTCAGTTTTCTTCAGTGTTCTTTCAATACTTATTTTTTCGAAAAATTTTCGTTTTTTCTTCGTACCTTGGATTTGTCAGTTTTATCGGCACGAGGCAGTTAGAGAGATTCCATTTACTGTTTGGAATTTTTAGCGAAACAGGGAAAAACGGATATTGATCGGCTATTCGGAGTGTAATTCACATAAATGATAGGGGTAACGGCTCGACATGCATCTTCGTATTTTAACACTTAGATATTGTCAAAAGTAATCCAGCTAGACCAGATTTATGCTTCTCGACTTGTCTCTTTAATAATAATGGTGAATATCACTATAAGTTTCTAAATTCCATGCTGAATTCAGTTTGATTTGAACCTCAAAATTATTATGCGAACTTCAGGGACCTCTGGTTGTTCAAGTTGTAAAGCCACGCAATGTTTCATATCCAAAGTATAGTGAAGCCACGCATACCGATGGTCTTATCAAGATTCAACTAAGTGACGGTTTTTCCAGCATTCAAGCATTACTCTTTGAACCCATACCAAAGTTAAAGTACGCTATATGAAATATTGTAATCGTGAGATGAGACCTTAATCTTCTGAATTAATTTCGATATTTAGGTGATTAATGTAGCAAATTCTCCGATATTGACAGGAACTTGTATAACAGAATACTGAATCTCTCTAAAAAGTTATTTGTTTCGTTTTTCCTTCTTTTTTTTCTTATTCTTCCTTCTTTATCGCTATTAAAATTTCCAGCGCAGAAACGCCACCGGGTACAAAACTTTGTTTGGTTGGGAAAATTCCAATCGAAAATGGAATGTTGTTAATCAACGGAACCAATTGCCAAGTATTGGGTGGCAATGTTGAAAAAATGGTCGAAAAATGGAATATGGAAAAGGTTTCTTTCGGTATTTTTATACACTTTGTATTTTAATAATTTTTTGCAATTCATAATTTACAAAAGCTTAAACTTTGCAGAACTGGCTACAAAAACCAATACGAACCACTGAAAGCAATGCACCGAAGTGGATTCAGTTTTCCAAGCAGGTAGATAATTGTTCGAAATTATTGATTTACAATTTTTCATTAACTTCCTAGCCTACATGGTATGGTTATAAAATTTGTAGGGGATAACTACCGTGTTCTGTGACACTGTTATGTTATGCAAAATATGCTGTGCTATATATTTGTAAAATATATTATACGAAATATAATAGACGATTGGAAACGTATCCATATGGAAAAGCAATATTTTGCATTTTGTATTTTTTCTCTTTTTTCATTATTTTGCCATCTTAGGTTCATGATTTTCTGAACTCTACCGCCTTTTTTTCAGCAATTATCGCAGTCCTCTCTTCCTGTTAATGCCACTAATAAAATGTTTCGAGCGAATGACGTAATCAATGGATTAAGCAAAAGAATGGCTGATGAACGTGTTGATGATTTCAGTGCTGCAAGAAAAGCTCATATTGAGCAAGTTATCGAAAACAATGCTATAAAGAAATTTGCTCGAAGTCAGGTAACTTACGTAAGATAAGAAAAAACTAATTTAAAAATTAGAATTATCCTCACTTGGTCAGTTACCAGTGCTGATATTAAAACGAATGCATATTTCTCGATATCCTAAATGATGTTGTTATGGCAGTAAATAAGCTATATTTTTAATCTGTTTGTTCTTTTCATCGTAGTGAATTAGAACAAAGCATTATTAATTAAACGGTTTTTATTTCAGTTGAAGCCAAAATCATTAGAGAGTTCTGCATCGACTTCTTGTAATATCAGTGGCAAGAAAGATCCGATGGTAAAAGCAAAACCTGATGTGAAAAATAGAGTTTCTTCTCTTCATATTTTTAATAGTTTTAGTTAAAAGATTTTTGACTGGTCCGAAACGATACCTTCTAAATTTGTGGATTCTTCGGCAATTTTTTGGGGTTTGCACTGAACAGGTCTAACATTTTGTTCACTAATATTGGGTGGGTGTTTTTTATCGATGTTCCATGCTTGTTATTATTTCAATATAATAATTTAAGAATAATAATGACAATATAATAATCTTAAAATAATTTAGAGTCGACGTTTTGTCCGTGAAGACAAGAGAAACTTGTCTCCGGTTCATCGACCTTCTGATCGTCCCACTCTATATGACTTCATGCAATCGAAAGTTTCTATCCTGGATCAGTCTCCTGAGCAGCAAGATCATGGTAATCTGAAGGTTAGTTGGATTTTCTATAGATCAGTGGAATGCTTTTGTACTTATTAAAAGCCCTATATACTTCCTTTGATGTCAGTAGTCTATGAATGTGTTGTTTTGAAACTTTTTTATTTCTGCTGGTACCTTTGCTCCTTTGTAAGCAGAAATGCTCTGAAATGGCTTACTGAAATGTTCAGATTTTGGCATTGAATGATTCTGCTCTTCGCTTAATAATCCTTCATGAAAATCGTTCTTGTTGGTAACGTTTTAAAAATAGCCGATTTCATTTTTTTTTAAAATAGATTCATCTAAAAAAAAACCCTTTCTTTTAAAAAGACGTCAAGCCGCTGGCATTGGGATTCAGTTTCAGGTAGAGCAAATTGCAGCTAACGTACAGAGTTTTGAAACTCAAGAAGTGGATCGAGCACGAAAGATCAGATTTAACGAGAAAGGTTACTATCCAAAATTACTTTACATTTTAGTTTACTCTTTTGTTTTCTCGTATCGATAACCTGATTTTTTAGGTTTTCGCAATCGGCAAACTCCTGAAAGCAGTAACCTCTCACGGACAATCGAATTTTCAAACTCGAATAGGTATCGAAAACAACTCAATTGGCGACCGGAGCGCGAGCGAAACAGTGCAACAAATGTAACAACAGATAATAAATTTGGATCGAATTACGCGGACAATCAATCGATTTCGGCTGCCCATAATGGTAACTTTATTTTTTCGCTTGCTTATTTCAAATGATTGAGAACATTGTTATGGTCATTGTAGAGTGATATTGTTTCCACTAATTTCTTGCCAGCCCGTTTAATCTCATTTTTAAGCATCATTTTTATGGCTTTAAGATACAATTCATAGAATTCATTTGAAGACTTCACTTAAGATTAATTCACTTAAGATTAATGATAAGATTAATTCATCTTATCATCACAGGCAATCATATATCTACTTTCAATGTTCTTGACACAAATTACTTGATGATTATTTACTATTTGATCAAGTAATTTTCGCAAATTGTGATCATATAGTAATTTTCGGCAAGAATTTTGGAATGCCATACTTGTGTCCTATCTTGTGCCCCATAAGGTTATAATCGTTAGGAATATGGTCGATATGATGTTTTTAATTTTGCAGAATTGTCGGCATTGCACATTTCTCCGGTTGATAACGAACCAACGGATGTTAATAAAGACCATAATATTCCTCAACAAAATGTAATTTTTGGTAGAAGTCATGATTATCAGCAGAATGTATCTTGTCGACAAATGGACGAACAGCAGCAACCACAACAACAGCAACAATCTTTCGATAATATGATATTGAATGGAGAGATTCCACCGGTTTGGAAAATTGGCGACAAATGTCTTGCACCATGGAGTGATGGCCAAGTACGTGGATTATCTTGTACTTTGGTGATCGTGATACCTGATGCTTGTGTACTGGAACCAAGTATAAACTAGAGTTAAATTAATTATCAGGGTGCTTTTGAAACGAATCGAATTGATCCCATAAGGGATTATTTTGGAGAGTAGAACTCAAACTGGTTGTTCTTGCTCTTCGTTTGTATGTTTGAAATGTAATGTATTGGTTCCATTTTGTTATTAGCAACTCATTTATTGGGTGATGTATAGGCTGTTGCGGTTAAAATTCTCCAACGCATGAGTATAGCATCTGTATATGTTGAAAATGTTGAAGTGCCTGGTGGAACGTGACACTTATATCTATGGATATAGCACTTATTACATAATAGATAACAGCATTTGATGTAATTCATTAAGAGTCTTTGATAGTAATTGATTGAACCTTCTAGGAAAATATAATCATTTCAACCAATATCCATATCTTATTCGTATTTTTGTTCTTAAACCAAAAGTGGTTGATCCTGTTTTTTGCAGTTTTATCCATCAACACTGGTATCAATGGGTCCAGCTGATATGTGTACTATTGAATATGATGAGTATGGAAATAGAAGCAGTGTACCTGTTGGAGTACTTCTTCAATTTCAGACATTTTGAGCTTTTATCTACTTGTGAAAGTGATCATTGAAATGTTGCCTTGTGAGGTGTGCAGTTTTCCTACTTCGCCTCATAGAATTGTGAATTTTCTATAGGCTGCATATTTCAAATATGATTATAATTTTCTAGTGATTAATTAAGTTTGAATATTTTCGGATTATGCATGAGTACAATCAAAACGAAGGATTTGATAACATTTTAGTGGGAAAAAGTGTATTTCATTTGCTAATTATTCAGTGACAATGTGGATGAATTGTTTCTCACACCTGCGTTTAACTGTATTATATGATGACAAAATATGTGAATAAATGAATTTTTTTCGTTGTTGTTCATTGTGAAGTGAAGGTTTCCTCTCTGAAATTGATGCAAATTTACTGAATGTCAACTTGAATAATATTATTTCGTCCTCTGTGCGAGTATTTTTCAAATAATTTTAGCTAAGGTGGTTCTGAGATAGGCTATTATGTTTAGGTTTTGTTTGTATTGCGACCCTTGGTTTAATTTTAAAATTCTAAATGTAACTAACAATTAAGAAAATTAAGGAAAAGTAGTGGTGAGTAATATTTGGTTGAATGTTGGTTTTTTTCATCCGATTTGTCAGGAGATATGTTTTCATGTAATTGTTTCAGCTTTTTTGTTGGCTAGATTAATATTTTTTGAAAAACCGATAAGAAGCAGTTGAAGCATATGATTTCGCGGCATGTTGGTACTGCAGCTCGCGTCGTCAAAGGCACAATTCGTCGTAATATACCGTCGAAGGCTGCATTATGGTTAACACCTGAAGCTGTGAAACGTGTGAAATATCTGCTAAGCAAGCAACCGGAGACGACAGCGTTAAAAGTATGTTTTCTGTTTATTCCACAGCTGGATATTTCAAGGATTTTAGTCGCTGGAAGCTACTGAAGTTTTTTCCAACAAATTGAAAGGATATTTTGAAGATTTATATGACAAGAGTGAACGGTTTGGTTTAACGGTTTACGGTTCTATTATCGGTGACATTCGACTGTTGAAAAATTTAAAAAATCTGGTAATGAGCGTGGAACCTCAGATTTTCTTAGGAGAATAAAATATGAGAATGAATAGCTAAGCATTTTACATTATCTTTTACAACCGAAGCCAACAGATATATAGATATACCCTTCTTCGTATGTTTTTAATAAACAACACATAAAAAAGTATAGAAAAAGGACCAATATTTTGAGAAAATTTCAAGTCTAGCAATTAAAGATGTTAGAGTTGGTAGTCAAATAAACATTTTTGATAGTTTATCTAATGCAGGGTTTTAAAAATGGCTGAATTCATACAGGAAGGCAACCAAGGAGTGTTTATTATAGATAAGCGTAAAGCAGCGTGGTTGTAATGGATTGACGTATACACTCGATTATGCGCACCGAAAGGCAAAGTTTGATGAAGAAGTTCTGCAGGTAAACATTGTCTATAATAATTTTTCAACAGTCGATTTTGTATTTTTATTCAGTACGTTTACTTATGCAGTCGTTCTAGTTTAACTCTTCGGCTATAATGTTTCTCTTAAATGACACCTTATATCAATCTGTCGTAACCTTATGTCAAGTTGATTTTAAGGATGGTGCGCGTTTATGGATTGATTCGAAAGCGCAGCTAACGTTATTAGGTAGTGAAATGGATTATGTGGAAGATCGTCTGTCTTCCGAATTCATTTTTCGCAATCCAAATATTAAGAGTACTTGTGGCTGTGGTGAAAGTTTTAATATATGATGCTAATTTATTTGTACTTCGAATTCTTCAGTATTAGTTTTATTCTTGCAAAGAAGTAGTTTTCAGTTTTGTTTATAGAACTCTTTATGTGTGTTAATATTTAAATATCATCAGAAATTATAGTTCCTTTCAGTAGTACTTACGTTGCAGATTTTGATCATAGGGAAAATTGCCCAATTCTGGATATTACCTGCAATTTTGGATGGGTAGCTCTAATTATCATCTGTCATATAATTATCATCATAATTTCTAAAGAGCATTTCATATTCACTGATTAATACGGGCAGAATATAGTGATTGAAAATTTGATGACACTAAGACGATGCTGCAAGTATGACATATAATTTACATAGTAGTTTCGTGTGGAAACTTCTTTTTTATAAAATTTTTATGCAGAAGACTAGTTCTCGATTTGTCGAAAATTTTCGCTAAATTTAAAACCATTTGAAATATATTTGCTGCTCAGTTTTGTATATATTATAAAATGATATCAATGCTATTATTTCTGTTATACATGACTGTAAATGTATTTATTGTCAAGAAATAAATCAGATCCAATTATATTATTTTTGACTGCATTCATTACCAATGCTATCAAACGCATTTCTCAGTCATAGCTTAATACACCGATAATCCCTTGTATGAGATATTCAATTCTATCTGGTTTTATATTATCAATATGTGAATTGAATAACGGATAGTTTCGGTCATCAAATATCATAGAATGGAGGGAAGCTTTTCTTTGCGTACTTTTCGATAGTTAATTCTAAATCAACCTGAAGTTATGTTAACCTGACAGGGCTATTTAACGGTATGCAATTACGTGGAAACAGTTTTCCCACCTATTGCTTGCCGGAAGGATTAATTCCCCACATCGAACGCACAGCGCCAAGCTCCTCTTGATGACGCTGGTACATCAAATTGCATTGTGACCTAATGAAGCGACTCAAAAACGTATCATGGCAACATAAGGTGGTTTCTGGTTGGGAGTAATGACTTCTCTGTTGGGTAGGTCAGGATTTTCCCGTAGGTTGGGAGTTACTCTTTTCCCAGCTGTTATATTCATCATATGCCTGCGACAAGATTTAAGTGGTCCTATCATGACTAACATTTTGTGTCGTTTTTCTTGAGATCTTGAGTTGGGAGTGCTTTATGTTTGAGGTTCTGGAATTATTGTGAAAATTATTGGGAGAGTGTGCGGTTAGAACTTCTCAGAGATTTTTAAAACTGGCTTGATTGATGAATTATAAGATTTGCTTACTGTTTATGAAACCAACTGTCACCTCGAAAGTCGGGTTGGATTGTTTCAAAAATTTTCAAATTTATATGCTTCGAGGTTTTTTTCGATTAGCCGGAAGACTTCTTGATATTTATGTCATTTTGTTTCGTCACAGTTTGAGCAGGGTATGCTATAATACAAAGTAGCTAGCTGATATGTTGCATGTTGCTGATCCGGATTTATTCCGGATATTTGATAAAGAGACGATATATCATCAGGAGTGTGTTTACTCCTGATTGGTGCCTATTATACATTTTATCAGAGTGGAATTAGTGCAGTGAAGTTTTCCGTTCTTTGCAGATTTGTTTAACTGCCAAGCCTACCTAAGAGAAAGTTGAGAATAATGCAAATTTTTGTGAGAGACGTTGATAACATAGTACAGTCGATATGTATTCCGGAGACAAGTACAGTGGCTGAGCTCAAGGTTCGTTGTGCTATCCTGTGGATAGGTATTTTAAATGTGTTAAGATTGTTTCGAGATTCTCATTATTTTATTTCTAAGCATTTTCACATGTGCTACGATTTGATCCGGAACTAGTTAAGGTAGGAAAGAGTATTACAACTTTCTCTTGAATTGTTGAGAGGTTATTGAAGTTTGGTTTTCCAAAATCAGATCAATCATTGTTTGGCTGTAATGGAATGCTTCTGTTATTATATGGAAATGAAATTTGGATTAGAGCTCGCTACATTAAAGAAGATCTATTGAATTGCTCTATTCATCTTTTAAAGCTCAATAAATTAACATTAATCTTTCAAGCAGTGTAATATGTGTTATGTTTCATAGAGATTTTTTTTTCTTGTTTTTTAGGCATTACTGCACTTAGACGGAGCGCTTTTGACGTACGGCACTACAATTTTGGATAATGATAAAGCATCACTTACGGATTTCGGGATCTATGATAAAGCAAATATTGATGTTTCATTTCGACTTCTCGGAGGTAATCCAGTTCTCTAACTCTTATTAGAAGAAGAGCGCTGCTCATGACGATGATTTTGTCATCCTTTTCTCTCTCATTAGTTTGAAAGATGGGTTAATATACTTTCTGAAGTCTTTTTTTTTCCAATTTCTGGAAAGTTCTGATTTTGCTTTAGGCAAAGTGCATGGTTCGTTGGCTCGAGCAGGAAAAGTGCGAGCTCAAACCCCGAAAGTTGAAAAACAGGAAAAGAAAAAAAAGAAGACTGGTAAAATTTTATTTTTAATTTTTAAACTTGAATTATAAGGTATCGTATTTTATTGATGAGTAATGCATTGGGGTATTTTTCGGATAATTACATCTGCTAGTATTTCTTACATTGCTTTGCTTACTAATAATTTGTTTCGATATGTCTCATCTAATACTTTCAGGCCGGGCAGCTCGTCGTATTCAGTATAACAGGCGGTTTGTGAATATAGCTGTTAGTGGAATAGGACGAAAACGTGGGCCAAATTCAAATGCCGCATGAAAATGAAGTTTTATTAAATGACCTTTACTGATATTACAATAATTAAAAGAATATTTCATATGTAATGCTCGTATACTGAAATAAATTTGTTGATTTGACTTTTGCGTGTATGCGGAATCTTTTGCAAATAGAAAATACCATTTATCTAGTTGAAGGAGTACAAGTTGTATGGTCATATGTAAAGGTCGAATAAAAATCGAAATGGAGTAAACAGAAAATAGTGCATGATACTATCAGTGATCTCTAGTTTGAGATGTATCAATTCTGAAGGCTTCTACGTCTGGTCCCAGAATGTGATTTAATTTTGAACGTTTGAAATCTTTATGGCATGTTGAAAAGGGGACAATGACCTATTATTGTTAGATGCTGTTGTCTTCTTTCCACTATGTATTTTCATTGATCATAATTTATGGATTTTAAAATGCTAAGTTCAACGAGACACTATTGGAGCCGTTGAAGTGAAATGTCAATAAAATTGCTGAAGGAGGCTATCAAACTCGTGAATGCCGGTTCGTTAAATTTAATTTTAGCTTTTATTTCAAAGGAAGGGTGACGATCGGGGAATTCTGTAAATATGTGCCAGATGTGCAGAAACTCTAATATGAATTTTAAAATGCTAATAATGGTAAATGGAGAAGTCCCATTCCGGTGTTATATCAGATCGTATATAGTTAGTGAAGCTGAAAGATGTTCATTTGCTGGGAATATATCATTATCTGTTGGGTTTGCTCAGATTTTGCAGATTGGATTAGCGAAGATAAAGCCTTCAGCTTTTTTTGATCCGTAGCATTTGTATCATTTATTCTTATTTTCACTTTTTAGGACTTCTTCATTTTTAGATGATAACGTAAAAGGTATAGAAGTTGCACGGAAATCAGGAAGACCTTCGAAGCGAGAAAGAGATCGTCAGCGGTTTGCTGCTGTAGCTACCACTTCAGAATACGATCCTGAATTAGATGACATAATCGTAAATTCGAGAACTCAAAAACGAAATGTAGTGAAACAGAATGGAAAAAAAATTGCGAAGGTAAGCTACAATTTTCGTGATTCGATTGTCATCTATCTCTTTTGAAATCAACATTCCTAAGTGTAAACAAAAGTAATTTTCTCTTTTCAATTATTTTTTACTGAATTTTTGAAGATTGTTTTGATCCCAAGTTTTGTTAACTAATTTCAACTAAGCCTTAATTGATAATAATACATGTCGTAATATCTTAATGAATAATTTCCATTATGGAAAGTAGCATATTAAATAATTTATAGCCTAAGCCGTTTTTCTTGAAATTCAAATAATCTGACACTGTGAAGTTCACGTTGAGAAGGAACATTGGTGTCCTTTTTCTTGATATCGATTCTTCATTTTTCAGTTGTTTTTTTCCATTCATTTTATCCTATTTTTATTTTCAGTTTTAAGTGCCGAAATTTGCATTTTCTTTTTCAGAATATTTCATTGTTGGAAGAAAGTCGCTTAAGAGGTAAGACGGATCTGTTAAAACGTAACATCAAATATATGATTTATGAAACGAATCGTAAGTTGGATCCTGGCAAAACCAAGCAGATATTGGGTTTCATGGATGAACGTAATCGTCGTCGTAAGAAAATTCTTCGCACATTGCGTAAACAAAATAGTTCGTTTTTTTGTACCGTTTCTTTAGAAATTTAAAACTCTCTAGTCATCCTCAACATTCTGACTTTGTTTGATAATAGTTGAAAAATCTGATGAGTTATGAGTTTGCGTGAGGAATATAGTTAAGGCAGTTTTATACTTTAAGTTGTTTTCTTTTATGTATTTGATATTTAGACGGAGTGCGAGATCATCGATGGCAATTTAAAAAGTCCGACAATAAATCAATATTTACGGATGAAGATTTCATGAAAATTGGACCTAACAGAATAGAAGTAAGTTTTCACTTTTATCAAGTACTATAATTTTCATTGTGGTTATGTTCCACTCTGTAATTATCTGAAGTTAAAAAGTGTAAGAATGCACCCTAAATTTATCAAAATTGTCATTAAAGGCGTAAATTAAATGTTGCAGTTACTACGAGGAAAAAAGTCAAAGAAACGTAACCATTTGGGAAATCAAGAATAAATATTTATGGGTGATGGCAGTAATTACCAGCATGTGATTGTAATTTTTTGTCTGTTCTTTTTTATAAAGGTCAAATGTGCGCTCAGTTAAAAATTTTTAAATCGTCGGTTTGTTATGAAATTTTTTTTCGTCATTGAAATAAAAGTTACTAATTCTATGAAATTTTTGTTTAAAAAATAAAGTTCGCAATATAACGTGAAATTCACAGAAGTCAAAGATTGGGATCGAAATATTTGATCAATCAATTAATGAATCTTGCATTAACAAAATAAATCAATTAATGAATAAGTCAATAAGTCAATTAATGAATCTTACATTAACAAAATATGTTAAGCTTTATAGTACGCGAAAACTATGTATGCCGCAAAATAATAATACTTATTCGTAGGAAAGCAGCATACCAATTCGATAAGTTAATTGCGATTAATATCAAGCATCATTGGCTGAAAACTAATTGAATAATATTTGAATTTAGCAATGAAGGCTTCAGAAAATTGGAAGTGGAATTCATTTTCAATTAATTAAAATTTCATTAACTGGAACATATAACATTTTTTTTTTAACATATTCTTCTTTTCCATAATAGCATATTCTTTTTCAACATTTCACATCATTATTTGTACGTGTTTCTGAACGGTTGCTCACTTTATTCAGAAGAGAAAAACGGAAATTAATAATGGGAGAACAATATGAAGCATTGTATCCGGCTGGAACAGGTTTATTACACTTTTTACATCATTTCTATTTGTTATTAATCCCTTAATTTTTGATATTTATGGGAAGGTAAGCCGGTTGAAATTTTTCCAATATATCAGTTCTTATCATCTGTACCACCATAAATCATTTAATCATTGAATAGGTAAGGATGATATTATAGGTATTTGTCAGCGTATTATCTTTGAGTATAGGAGAGTATATTCGTTTAAAATAGTTTATATCAACAAGATATTCATCAGATTCCTTCGTTTAAATTTTATTTCTTCAAATTTCATCTTTTGTAGTAAAACAGCAGAGTAGTTAAATAACCTAATATTATTAACTTTTTCCAAATTTCAAATTGAAAACTTTCATTTTGAATAATTTGATAGTTTTTAAAAACTTTTTCTTATATTACTTATTTGTTTCAAATATTATTATTATTATTATTATCA